GCTGGCCCAGTTCCACTTCCTGAGGCGGCTGCTGCTGGTGCACGGCACTGTCCTACGTGCGAGTGTGCAAGTTCCTGCACTACTTCGTTTACAAGACGCTGGCCAGCATGATGGTCCAGATCTGGTTCGCTTTCTACAGCGGCTTCTCTGCCCAGGTGCGCTGGAGGGAACAGCCCTTTGGGGATTCTCTGGGATGCTGGGCCCTTCTCCTGGCTTCCAGGAGGGCGGCAGGCTCGCGCACACTCTCCAGGGTCCTCTGGGGTCCTCTGGGGTCCTCTGGGGCAGGGCTGGCCTGAGGTCGCAGGGCAATGCGACCTTCTCCCTGGCTGCATTCATACAAGTATAGAGTCCGGATAGAGGACTCTATACTTGATCACTCCTGCCCAGCTGAGTGCCCAGCAGTTCCAGGGATATTTGACAGATCTGAGCTGTGAAGCCAGGCAGGGCAGCTACTCCAAAGGTAGATCTTTCTAGGGGAGACAGAATGAGCTTGAGCCCCAGAGAAGAGAATATTGTGGGAGCTGGGTTTCTGGCTTCAAGACTCAACAGTAGCACAGTGAGGAGCAGATGTGCCCGGAGCCTGGGAAGAGTCACAGAGAGATGATTTCCTGTGTGTAAGGACGCCGTCTGAAGATAGATGGCCGTGATAGGGAATAGCTCCCTGTCACGGATACCAAGGCTTTGAGAGGGAGCTTTACAGAGGCACCTGGATAACTTGTATGTTGTTTGTTTTACTGTTTTGTCTCTAGATATTTTATTCTTTTAGATGCTGCTGTACATGGAATTGTTTTCTTAATGCCCTCTGGGGATGGCTCATTGCTGGTGTGCAGAAACACAGATGATTTTTTTGGGATGTTGATCTGTGCCCTGTACATTTGCTGAATTCCTTTATTGGCTCCAGGAGATTTCTGGCGGATCCTTTGGGATTTTCTGCATGTCATCTGAAAATAGAGATCGTTTTCCTTCTTCCTCTCCATGTGGACGCCTTTTATTTCCCTTCCTTACCTACTTGCTCTGGCTGGAACGCCCAGTGAGACGGAGAGGGCTGGCATCCTGGTCTTGTTCCTGAGCTTAGTGAGGACAGTGTTCTGTCTTCCTACATTTGTTAACTAGAATTCTTCTGTAGGAAGAACCAACCATTCCTTCTCCCTCATTTATTTATGAAATTATTTATTTTTATTATTTTTTTAGATATATATATATATTTTTTAAATATATTTTATTGATTTTTCACAGAGAGGAAGGGAGAGAGATAGAGAGTTAGAAACATTGATGAGAAAGGATCATTGATCAGCTGCCTCCTGCACACCTCCTACTGGGGATGTGCCCGCATCCAAGGTACATGCCCTTGGCCGGAATCGAACCTGGGACCTTTCAGTCCTCAGGCTGATGCTCTATCCACTGAGCCAAACCGGTTAGGGCTTTATATATATATATATATATATATATATATATATATATATATATATTAAATATATTTTATTGATTTTTTACAGAGAGGAAGGGAGAGGGATAGAGAGTTAGAAACATCGATGAGAGAGAAACATCGACCAGCTGCCTCCTGCACATCTTCCACTGGGGGTGTGCCCGCATCCAAGGTACATGCCCTTGGCCGGAATCGAACCTGGGACCCTTCAGTCCGCAGGCTGGTGCTCTATCCACTGAGCAAAACCGGTTACGGCATTTAGATATATTTTTATTGATTTCAGAGGGGAAGTGAGAGGGAGAGAGAGATAGAAACATCAATGATAACAGAGAATCATTGATCAGCTGCCTTCTGCAGGCCCCCAACTGGGGATTGAGCCCACAACCCTTGACCAGAATCGAACCTGGGACCCTTCAGTCCACAGGCCGATGCTCTATCCACTGAGCCAAACTGGCTAGGGCTGAAATTATTCATTTTTATCAGTATGGACCCATGGACATTTATTTGATTGTATGTTTTATTGCTCCATTGATCCCCGATGTGTCTTTTTGACATGGCCTGCTTCTCTCTGAGCATATCTTCACTTTCTGGCACTACAAGAGGTTCCAGGCTCATTCTGTTTTTTCTTTGCCCCAACCCTGGAATCAGGCACTCCCATAAGGAGCGCTGGTCCTTCTCATTAGAGAATGGTAGTGAGACACCAAGAGCGAAGTGCTTGGTGTCTCATTGCTGCTGGGGTGCTATTCCGCTCTCAGCAGACAGAGCTAGGAAATGTACACATACCATCCCATGGATAGACGCACATCTCTATGTCTTTCTCTAGTTCTATGTCTGTCTATTTTTTTTAAAAATCCTCACCCAAGGATATTTTTTCATTGATTTTTAGAGAGTAGAAGAGAGGGGGAAAGACAGAGAGAAATATTGATGTGAGAGAAACACATCGATTGGTTGCCTCCTGCATGCGCCTTGACCAGGGCCCCAGGCTGGGAGGAACTTGCAACCACGGTATGTGCCCTTGACCAGAATCTAACCTGGGATCCTTTGGTCCGCAGGCCGATGCTCCATTCACTGAGCCAAACCAGCTTGAGCTATGTCTGTCTATCTATCATCTATCTTGTGTGTACTAAAACACTATGAGTTACCCTGACCAGTTTGGCTCAGTGGCTAGAGCGTCGGCCTGTGGACTGAAGAGTCCCAGGTTTGATTCTGGTCAAGAGCATGTACCTTGGTTGCGGGCACATCGGGGGGTGGGGGGGGTGGGTGTGTGTGCAGGAGGCAGCTGATGGATGTTTCTCTCTCTCTCATTGATGTTTCTAACTCTCTATCCCTCTCCCTTCCTCTCTGTAAAAAATCAATAAAATATATTTTTAAAAAAACCACTATGAGCTCCCACTGATGTCTCTGATTCCAGGCCCACAGAACAAGGCTCAGCTTAGCCTTTTCCAGGTGCTCATTAATGACTCTTGTCCAGCCGTGAAAAACTTGAGTCTTGTAAAATGATTGATCATTACTTATTTGCTCACTCGAAGAATGCACATAAAATGGTTTTTGGAATGGAAACCCATATCCTTTTTTTTTTTTTTTTTTTTTAAATATATTTTATTGATTTTTTACAGAGAGGAAGGGAGAGAAATAGTCAGAAACATCGATCAGCTGCCTCCTGCACATCTCCCACCGGCGATGTGCCCGCAACCCAGGTACATGCCCTTGAACGGAATCGAACCCGGGATACTTATTTGCTCACTCGAAGAATGCACATAAAATGGTTTTTGGAATGGAAACCCATATCCTTTTTTTAAAAAAAATATATTTTATTGATTTTTTACAGAGAAGAAGGGAGAGGGATAGAGAGTTAGAAACATTGATGAGAGAGATCAATCAGCTGCCTCCTGCACGCCCCCTACTGGGTATGTGCCCGCAACCAAGGTACATGCCCTTGACCGGAATCGAACCTGGAACCCTTGAGTCCGCAGGCCGACGCTCTATCCACTGAGCCAAACCGGTTCGGCCCCATGTCCTTTTTTAAAAAATATATATTTTTTATTGATTTCAGAGAGGTAGAGAGAGATAGAAACAGCAATGATGAGAGAATCATTGATCAGCTGCATCCTGCATGCCCCCTACTGGGAGTTGAACCCACAACCCAGGCATGTGCCCTTGACCAGAATAGAACCCAGGACCCTGCAGTCCACAGGCAGATGCGCTATCCACTGAGCAAAACCAACAAGGGCTGAAACCCATATTCTTTAACTGAACTAGATTCTTGCATTGGGAAAGGAGCTGGGCTCATTGTCTGTGGGGTCTCTTCCAAGTCTTTCACCATCCATCCATCCGTGACTCCATGAATCTAAAATGACCAAAACCACATTCTTCAGCCACTTTCCCTCCTGTAGCTCTTTATGGAAGCCCTCCAATGACAACAAGTACTCCAAAGTGCTGTTTAAAAAGAATTAGACCTGGCTTTTCCTCTTTGCCTTTTCCCTTCCAGCAGCACTTAACCCAGTGGTTGTCAACCTTCGCTGCACATTAGAATCACCTGGGAATCTTTTTAAAATCCTGATTTCTGGGCCTCATCCTCCGGAAATTCTGTTTCTTTGTTACTAATGCTGTGGCCCCACCCCATAACAAAGAAACAGAATTTCCGGAGGATGAGGCCCAGAAATCAGGATTTTAAAGATTCCCAGGTGATTCTAATGTGCAGCCAAGGTTGAGAACCACTGACTTAACCCAACCCTTGATTGTAACGAATTTTCTCACTCACCTGGAATCCTCCACAGGTGCTGCGCTGCCTTGGGGAGGTCTCCTCAGGTGAAGAGCATATCTGCTTCTGGACATTTGGCACCTGAAGGCTGGCCACTGACCACATTCTCCCCCCTCCCTAGCCCCTGTACGAAGGCTGGTTCCTGGTGCTTTTCAATCTGCTGTACACCAGCCTCCCAGTTCTGTACATTGGGCTCTTCGAGCAGGTGAGCAGGCTGAGGACTTGCCTCCCCCTTCCCTGTAGATACTCCTGTCTCTGCCACACCTTCTCCCCTGGGGGGCTGGGGTGGGATGTGGGCAGGGCTCCTAGACCACGACCATGTAACCGTTCCCACCGGAGCTCAACCTGATGGTGGGTGAAGTCCTTTTGCCCAGCTACCCCCACCCTTTTGGGACATTCCCAAAGCTCAGTCCCACTGTCTGCCCATCTGTGCCACAGTGGGGAGGGGATCAGAGAAGATGGTTCTCCTGTTTGCCCTGCCCTCCTCCCGAGAGGGTCTGACTAAGTGATCCAGAATAGGGTGGTCCAGTCCAATGCTTAGGACGATGGAAGTGTCTCGTGCCTGTGCTGTCCAGCTGGGAGCCACCAGCCACAGGTGGCTAATGATGGGCACTTGAGGCTGGCCTGATGTGCCCTAAGGAACAAGACTTTCATTTCATTTTGAAAAAAATATATATTTTATTGATTTTTTATAGAGAGGAAGGGAGAGGGATAGAGAGTTAGAAACATCGACGAGAGAGAAACATCGATCAGCTGCCTCCTGCACACTCCCCACTGGGTATATGCCCGCAACCAAGGTACATGCCCCTGACCGGAACCGAACCTGGGACCCTTTAGTCCGCAGGCTGACATTCTATCCACTGAGCCAAACCAGTCAGGGCTTTCATTTCATTTTTTAAAAAAGTTTAAAACTGTGGTAAAACACCAATAACGAAATTCGCCACCTCACCGTCCTCACGGGCATGGTTCAGGCCTGCCGAGCGCAGCCCGGCGCGTGCTTGTTGCTGTGAGCCGGCCTCTAGAACCCCTCCACCCCCGCCAGGATGTGAGTGCTGAGCGGAGCCTGGAGCTGCCCCGGCTGTACATCGCCGGCCAGAAGGACGAGCTCTTCAACTACTGGGTCTTCCTCCAAGCCATCGCCCACGGCATGGCCACCTCCCTGGTCAACTTCTTCATGACCCTGTGCATCAGTCAGGACACGGCTGGGCCCCTCAGTGACTATCAGTCTTTCGCCGTGGTCGTGGCCCTGTCGGGCCTGCTGTCCATCACCATGGAGGTAGGCAGGGCTGCTGCCCACCCCACCCCTGGTGGGAACTTGGACACAGGTCTCATCGCCTGGTGACCCTTCCTGAGAGGCCTTAGCAGGTGCCCCTTGAACCTGGGGGCTTGGTCCCCACCCTCCTCTACGTAGCCTTGCCTGGTGTTCCGGCCCCCACGGCTGAAGCCTCCTCTCCCGCTCAGGTCATCCTCATCATCAGGTACTGGACGGTCCTGGCTGTGCTGGCCATCTTCCTCAGCATCTGCTTCTACACGGTGACCACTTGGGCGAGCCAGAGCTTCTGGCTCTTCACCATCTCCCCCAAGACCTTCCCCTTTCTGTGTGAGCCCCACCCCCACCCGCAGCAGGGACTAGGGTGGCAGCCCTGGAAATGGGTGGGGCCTGTGTCTTTAGAGAATTTGCCCAGAGGCATTCCGGGGGTGAAGGTGAGGAAGGAGGCAGGGGTCTGGAAGAGGGGGCACGGAGCAGGCTCTGGGGAGGCTTCCCCCTGGGCCCGGCTGAGACTCTGCTCTGTCACCAGATGCTGACCGCAACGTGCTGTCCCACCCCTCCACCCTGCTGGTGGTCCTGCTGAACGTGTCACTGAACTCCCTGCCCAGACTGGCCTTGCCTGTCATTTACCAGGCCCTCAAGAAGCCACACTCCAAGGTGAGGGTGGCTGGGGTCCCCCCTGCACATTCCTGGGACCCATCGACCAGAGCTGGTGCTGGGAGCAGGGACTCCTACGGAGCTGGGGGTAAAGGGTTCGAGACCCAGATGCACACCCAGTGTCCTCAGGAGGGGCAAATTATAGGCCCCAGGAACTCAGGAAGGAAGCCATACTTCCTGGGAGGGAGGCGGCCAGCCTGGTTCCGGCAGTGACGTGGTCAGACTTCCACCATGAACTGTCTAGGACTGGGGGGTTGAGATGACAGAAATGACCTGGAAAAGGTTTAGGCAAAAAGGGGAACTTAGAAACACCCCAAGTGTCCATCGATAGATGAATGGATAAACACAGTGTGGTTCATCCATCCACACAGTGGAATACTATTCAGCCTTTAAAAACAAGGAAATTCTGACCCTGTTACAATGTAGATGAACCTTGAGGACATTATGCTCAGTGAGATAAGCCAGTCACAAAAGGACAAATACTGTGTGATTTCACTCAGAAGAGGTCCCTAGAGGGTTAGATTTATGGACAGAAAGTAGATGGAGGGAGCCGGGGCTGGGGGAGTTCGTTTTTAATGGGGACAGAATGTCAGTTTGGGAAGATGAAGTTCTGGAGATGGAAACGATAGTTGCATAACAATGTTAATGTGCTTAATGCCACTGAGACATACACTTAAAAATGGTTAAAATGGTACATTTTATGTCTGTTTTACCACAAATGAAAAAATGTGTATGTGGGGGGCCGGGGGAGGGGGGACTTACTGGCTCAGGTAACAAGAAACTAGAAGGACCAGTTGCAGCTGGGCTGGGCTGGGGCACTGACTGAAACAGTGGACCAAGATCTGGCCACATACCCGCTATGTTCTGCCACACAGGCTGCAGGCATGCTGCCCCACGGTTAACTCCCGGCTTTGCCATGCCAGGGCACTTAAGGCACCTGGTACCTGATCTGGGGTTCAGTCCCAGCGGAGGACTGTGATTGGCTGGTTCAACGTTAGGTCCTAGGGAGAACTGTAGTTGGGTCAACTTGGGTAGGGAAGAGCCTGGCCAGTGAATGGTGACCAAGGGTTATGAATGGCCCCCACCGGGAGCAGGTGGCCCGAGAGTATCCAACAGAGTATGGCAGACTGATGACCTTGCTTGCCCTTTGCTCTGCAGGAGGAGGAGAAGGCTGAGGAGATCACCGCGGAGCCTCTGCCCTACCTTTGCCGGCAGTCACGTGCCCGGCGCTCTAGCTACGCCTTCTCCCACCGGGAAGGCTACGCAGACCTCATCACGCAGGGCACAAGTTTTCGGAGGTCACCAGGGGTCAACAGCAACACTCGGGCCGGTCACACAATCCCCTCGAGGAGTCGCCCTCGCACCAGAAGAAGATGCCATTCTTGGGGAGGAAGAGGCACCCGCACTGCGGGAAGGTGTCCTCCCAGGACACGCAGCCCGCCTCCCCGATGAGCTCCTCCTTTATGGGGAGGAGCAGTGCTCTTTCACCAAAAACGTGGCTCCCTCCACAGACGGGCCGTCTGGTTCTTTCCCCGAGAAACTGCCAGGGAAGCAGGCCAGGCCGTATTCTCCTGAGAATCTGCCACCAACCAAGGAGAGGCCACCATCCCCCAGAAGAAAGCCAGATGCCACTTTCTAAGAGCCAGCCGTGGCCTCCAGGCCAGTCATTTTTAAAAAATATATATTTTTTATTGATTTTGCAGAGATGAAAGGAGAGGTATAGAGGGTCAGAGACATCAATGAGAGAGAAAACATTGATCAGCTGCCTCCCACACGCCCCC